TTGCTGTTCCCCGGGGAGCTGCCGAACGGGAGCAAGAGGGGGCACTTCCACGAGGGGATGGCCCTGGAGTCGGATACCGCCCAGAGCGTCAGCTTCGCGCTGAAGGCGCGGAGCCAGGCGGACAAGCCCCTCTGGCCGCTCTCGGGGCCCGAGTTCGGCCAGGACTTCGTCGAGCGCGCCAGGCCGGCAGGGGTCGAGGACGCCCGCCCGCGCCAGGTCCGCCACGGAGCCGCCCCCCACGACGCGCCGTTCAAGGTCAGGGAGTTCGGGGCGGGCCATGAGCGGCTCAGGCACCTGAGCAAGTCCAGCACGCGGCGGCACTGCAAGGGGACTCGCTACCTGGCCGAGTGCGAGAAGCTGCCGTCCGAGGTGAAGGCGTTCGGCGAGCGGGTTGAGGCCAACCTCGCCGACCTCTTCTGCGGGCGGCTGCGCTGCCCAGCGACACCAGGGCACAGGGGCTGAGCGCCGCCGCCCGCGGCGCGGGCGCCTGGAAGGCCGCGGGCACCCTCGACGCCTCGATTCGTTTGAGCGGGGACGCCATTCACAGAGCATGTCTCAAGACTTAACGGGCGCCACCGCCGCTGCCCCCCGCAAAGGCCAAGTCTTCCTTGATTTGTTCTCTGGAGTTGGGGCTAGAGCCCGCGGGCCTCGCAAGCGTTGTGGGTGGGGGGTCATCGAGGCCGATCTCAAAGCCGGGCCCGCCTTTAACCTCAACAATCCCGTGGTCGTGGATCTGATCGTCGGGTGGGTCAGCAGCAAGCTGATCCGCGGAGTCTGGCTGGCCTTTCCCTGTTCCACCTGGAGCGTTGCCTCGGGCTGGCGGTATCGAACCCACTCTGACCTTTTTGGGCGACCCGGCCTGGACCCCGTCGGGCTCGAGAGGGCCCTGGCGGGCAATCGTTCCCTCCTCGCCACCTGCCGGACTGTCGGCTCGTGCATCCGTGGCGGGGTCCCCGTGGTCGCCGAGAATCCCAGCAGCAGTTTAGCTTGGTTCATTCCTAACATGAAGGAACTTGCCGTGCATCTTGCCTGTCGAGCTTACGTGTTTGAATTTTGCCTATTCAAGGTGCCCTGGAGAAAGCGCACAAACATTTTGGCCTGGCACCTCCAACTGGCTCCCCCCTCTTTCTCTCGTCTTTGCTCCTCATGACGACGAATGTGTGATTTTTCTGGTGAGGCCCACGTCAAGCTTTCTGGCGCGATCCCGGGGTCATCTCAAAAATGGACCTCCCGCGCCGCGCCCTACCCGACAGCAATGTGCACGGCCGGGGCTAAGTGGTTGTGGGCCTCCGCTGGGGCCATCGAAGCCGATCGTTTGAACAAACTTGCTGGCCATTGGGGTCTTTTCTCTGCCCTCTGAAGATGACCTGGCGGCCAGGGCATAGAATGGAATCCGGTGTTGCTGCGAAGCCTGTGTTCAGCCGATTGCGGCTCGTGGCCGAATCTTCTGCGCTGTCTTCCCATTTCGCTGAGATCTCAGCTGGCTGTCGATTCCTACATATCATGTTCTGGCCCCTTTGGGGGAAAAGGAGGCCCCTTAATCCCCAAGAGGTTAGATGTAAGCGCGCCCTGCAGAGCGATCTTCTGCGAAGGGCATTGCGGTGCGCGCAAGAGACATGGCCGCTGGTTTGCGGCTCAAGTCTACCTTTTTCGTCCCCTCCACCTCCCTACATGTTGTGATGCTTTTCGCTGATTCTCAGAGCACGGTGCTGCTGTGAAGCCTGTGCTCAGCCGATTGCGGCTCGTGGCCGAATCTTCTGCGCTGTCTTCCCATTTCGCTGAGATCTCAGCTGGCTGTCGATTCCTACATATCATGTTCTGGCCCCTTTTGGGGAAAAAGGAAGCCACCTGAGCCACAAGAGGTTAGATGTAAGCGCGCCCTGCATTCTCCTCCTCCTCCTCCTCCTCCTCCTCCTCCTCCTCCTCCTCCTCCCCCTCCTCCTCCTCCTCCTCCGTGGTGCCCAGGGCGCATTTGCTCGATCCTCGTCAGTGGCACCTTGCGGCGGCCGGCAAAAATTGCGTCATCGTCGTCGCAGGTGGTTGTCTCGAAGAGGACCTGGATGAGGAGAGAAGAGGAGGACGGACGAGGAGGACGAGGAGGGAGTGGACGAGGAGCGAGGGGCTGGTCGAGGCAGCACGACGGGGCCCAAAGCAACGAGAGCAGCACGGACAGGAACTTCTGGAGGTCCGCGCGGACCTCCGAGAAATTTTGTTCATGCAAGTGTTCGTTCCTTTACTGGTGGCGAAGCAGAAAGACGAGCAGGCAGCCGCGACAAAGCCTTCGCGTTCGGCGCCCCACTGGTCGCAGTATGCGGAGACGCTATAAGAACGCCCCCGCTGGGGCCGTAGGACGAGCTCCGTCTTGGGCACGATCCGTGCGAGGCGCGTGGAAGGAGCTCCCCGTGGGGCACGATCCGTGTAGGGCGCGTGCCAATTGGAGGCGGAGACGCCTTAAGAACGCCCCCGTTGGGGCCGCAGGAGTAGCTCCCCGTGGGGCAAG